CGGCGGGGGCAGGGTCCCCTTCGTGCAGAGGGTTAGGGCTGGGGACCCTCCGCCCCACTAAGGAGGGGGACCCCCAATCTCTGGCCGTGGGCCGGGGACCCCTCCGTGGGGAGGCAGGAGCTGGGGACTCCTCTCGCACATGTGTTGGCCACAGCCAGAGCCCATCGTGAGGTTTGGGGTTTTTTTTGGGGGGGCAGCCCCATGCCGGGACCCCATGGCTGGGGACCCCACTATGTGTGTGGGCGAGGGACTTGGGGTCCTGCTGTGTGGGGAGCAGGGGACCCCCCTGTTAACCGACATCTAGAGTCCTCCTACTCGTCAGCTATGGGCTGGGGAACCCCTCGGGATCCCACACACGTGTTGATCAGGGACCAGAGGTTCACCAGAGGTCCAAAGACCCTCACCCCAGGCGGTGGCTACAGACTGGGGACCTCCTTGTGGGGTGACGGCTTGGGACCCCCCGTGTGCTGGCTGTGGGCTGGGTCCCCCAACACAGGGGCTTGTCAAAGGCAGGGACGTCTCAGCACATCCTCCAGGACCAAAGGGATGTCCCCTCTGCCATCAGCATTATGATAACGGTGGGGGGCAGCTGGCTCTGGGCAGCCTCCCCCTCTCCTCCATCCACCCACCAGCACCTCATGAACAGGGTGACCGGGGGATAATCCCCCAAAACCAGGGATTCCCACCCAGCAGGCTGGCACCCAGCTGCCTCCACAGTGCTGCGGTGCAACTGGCAGGGTGCGAAGGTTTGAAGGGGGGCTGCTGGACCCCACATCTGGGCTGGGGGTCCCTGTGGCCGTGTTTGCCCAGCACCTGGCAAGAAGGAGCTTTGGTTTGGGTGGGAGCTTGGGTTGTTAAGGGAGTGAAATTTTACCTAAGTGCTGGTGCTTGTAACCAAGTAGCTGTAATCAAATCTATTTCTAATGCACAGAAAAGTACAGTGGAAAGTGGGGCTTGGTTTTACAGCTGTTTAAATGCTGCCTCAGTGCCTTATAGCTGCAGGGTCACCACCGAGAAATGTAAAATCTCTTTAATGTTTCACTCACTTATCCCCTTGCTCCTTCAGGCTTAATGTGACATCATGAAAAATTGTGTACTAGCAGTGGTGAGTCATAGCCACTCTGATTTTATGTGCCATGATGAAATCAGGGTATCTCAGGACAAAAGAGTGCCTGATGCAGCTGTGGTCTGGTCTTGAGTTCCTCCTGATTTTGGTGGTAGTCAAGGGGGAAAGAGCAACTTGCAAAATTTACCTGAAGTTGTTTCTTCGAGTGCATGTTTCAGTGTAGCCAGAGGATTTTATTCACGTATCACCAAAACCTTTTCACAAACAAGGAAAGAACAATGTAAAGTGCAATGTAAAGTTTGGGAGCGTATTTTAACTTTGAAACAGTTTCTTCATCCTTCCCCGGTGTTCACTTCGCCATGACCCACCCTGGGTGGCTCAGGCCACCCCGATGTGCTTCACAGCCGGCACAGGCTGAGCTCAGGTAAACACTTTGCTCCTCTCCAATGGGGGAAGGAGAGGAGCAAACTGACCTGCAGAATAGAAATGTCCTGGGCGAACATTTTCAGACAGACACTTCAAGTCAGATTGTTACTTTAATGTTTCAGAGACTCGAGGCCTTTCTTGCCCTGGACGCTCAGTGCTCTCACCATCCACTGTGCTCAGCTGCAGATAGGGCTGCTCAGCACCACTGAAAAGCGGCTAAATAGAGATTTTCATGCTGATGTTAAGATAGCCAGTGTGCAAACCTCTGCTACATCTTCTGAGGGTGGAAAATGGACTGAAGAAATGAAAGAGAAGGTGTCATTCCAGTCTCGTGCCAGGTAAAAGGCAGCAAGAGTCACCGGTTTTGCTCCAAATGGCGTGGCTTTGTGCGGGGCTTGGCAAGCTGGGGCTGCTGCTTCTCTCCGTGATCCTTCCATCCCCTGTGGCCAGCAGAGCAGCGGGTAGTTGGGTGCATGTGCCGGACCCTGCGCTGCCCACGGGATGGTACTGCAGTGGCAGCTATGAAGAAACAGAAGTAGTTAGCAGCAAATGACGTGTGTCCTGGCTGGTGATGTGACTGCTGTCGCCAGCCTGGCTGTGTGATGGCCAGAGGGTTCCTGCGGTGCCGTTATCTCATGTGGAGGCAGGAGGGGAAATGATAAGGCTCAGATGGTGCCATTCGTGGTCCTCAACAAGCAGCGCAAGTGTGAGTCCCTTTGAAGTTTACTTGTGACCCTGCTGAGATCAATACCCTGGACTAGCAAAGGGGAGGGAGAGAATCAGGCAGAAACCTGGAAAAAAAGGACTTTGAAAATAATAAGCCCTGTCTCTTCAGGCTGAGGGGAGAAATGTTACCTCTCAGCCCCAGGAACCAGGTACTGGACTAGCCCCTAGAGAACCAAATACACATAGAAGGGCTGTGATTGAAACCCCCCTTCTTGTGTTTTGCTGCTGCTGTTCAAAATCAACTATTTTTGCTTCCAGAAGAGCTGTTTTGTGTTTCTGTGGTGACACATGGATCCCAATCTTACCGGGAAGCGGCAGAATGGGCACCTCAGGACCTGGTCTGATGAGTGGGGGTGCCCCGAGCTCTCTCTCGTCACTGGCACAACAGACCTGGCTCTGCTTCAGCCTCCCCGCTCTCAGATTAGCCTGTGAGCTGCTACAAGGGACGTGGGTCAGTGCAAACTTGCAGGCTGAGCCCTACACTGGCACTGGATGCCGGCACACTTGGTCCTTCCCTTTCTGTGACGGGGGCAAGGACCTTGCCAGCTGCTCAGTGAGATTTGGTGGGGGGTCATCTGCCGGAGCCCCCAGACAGATGGGGAGGGTCAAAGGTACAGCTAGCCTCACACCAAGCTGCCCTCAGCAATCTGGATATTAACAGTATTGCAACACCAGTTAGAAGAATTTGAAGGGTCAAATTCCTTCAGAGCGTAACATTGTTGAACTCAGTCGGTTTAGACCTCCAGTGAATTTGGAGCAAGGTTTTGGAAGGCTGATACCTTAACACAGACCTGTTTAAAGGAGTTAATGTGTAACCGGCTGCAAACCATCTGGAGCAGACAGATGGCCTGCCCTGTTTCAGCAGCTGGTTTTGGCAGCTGGGACCCTGTGCAGTTCTCAGTGATGCTGATGTGAATCCAGAAGCAAGCAGTGGAGGGGGGGGAAAGGACTGCAGTTGCTTGCATCATCTGTAGAGCAGAATTAGGCCTTTTTCCTGCAAATTTCCAGCAGGGTGACTACCCAGGGCTTTCTCTAGATATGTATGTCCATATTCTGAAATGCAGCCAACATCCTGCTACTAAAATAAACCCCACAAATGTACCGTGTCTGGAACCATTGCGATTAAGAGCTACCAAATAAGAAAAATGTCAGAACACAATCAATTTATGTCAAATGCTCAACTGTTTGAAGAGTGTCCCTTTCTTTTAAGAGACCTTGCAGCTGGCTGATGTTCAGATACCGTGGAAAATCCACTCCCCTCTGTGTACCATGGAGTTCAGAATACAGCTAAATTAAAAACTAAAGAGCCTTTTGCAATCAAATTAGTTTTTATTTAAGCGCCGCACCATAGGATCAGATGATCAGAGCCGCCAGTGGATACAGCACAACAGTTTGGGGCTTGTCAACACAGAGAACAAACCAGAATAGCTGTCTTCAGATAGCTCTCATTGTGTGATGATCTGACCGTGAAGAAAGTTACTGTATTCTGGAGTAATAAGTGCATTAGCAAAACATGCTAATAATCTTAGACTATAGTGACCCTTACTGCAGGGTAGCCTCTCTTCTGGGTGCACAGGGATGGTTTTTCTGTTCAATCCCACATAAGTGTTCTCAAGTCCACCCTGCTGATTGATGTGGCTTCCTCGGACCCAGGAGAATCCGTGTTCCACTGCTGCCTGCATCTCCAAGGTACAATTAATGTTCAATAATGTCAAAAAACTTAATGTGTGATAATGTTTCAGATGATGCTGGCTGATGATGCAGCTGCTGCACTGAAGCAGTCACAGGACCTGCAGTTACAGGGCTGCCAGAAAGGCTGAACTCAGGAGTGGGCAGCTCTCAGCAGTCTCTAATCATCCTGGGTGTTCTTACTGCCTGTAACTGCTATTTTTTGGCATGGACAGTCACATAAACAGGACGGTTCACACCATTATTTCTCCCAGCTTGCTAGTGCAGACATGCCTCTGTAAGAAGGGTTATAGAGAAGCTCGAAACCAATGTTTACAGTGGATGGAACTTGTCCAAAAGGCAGTTGCCTCTTTAAAAAAAGAGCAACGAGAAATCCAGTGTCTCACTGGCACCCGCAAGCCTGGCACGGCCTGCATGCCTCTGCATTGCTGCGCATCTGCCACTGTGTGCTCCTGCTTGCCGGTGCCCTTGCAGTACTGCATGTGCTGGGAACTAACGTGGGGCTCCTTTTGTGTCCTGGGAAGCTGTCTTCCCAAAGATTGAGACTAACCAGGCTGTTTCTCCTTGCTGTTGGTAAATGGGAGTTTTCTTTCATAGAATCATAGAATTATTTAGGTTGGAAAAGACCTTTAAGATCATCGAGTCCGACTGTTAACCATGCCCACTAAAACATGTCCTGAAGTGCCTTGTCTACGTGCTTTTTGAATACCTCTGGGGATGGTGACACCACTACTTCCCTGGGCAGCCTGTTCCAATGCCTGATAACCCTTTCAGTAAAGAAATTTTTCCTAATATCCAACCTAAATTCTGTGATGGCTTCTTTTACGCTGTGGCTTTAGGGTGACTCAGCTACCACTGTTTAAAAGACACCCTGATTGTACCTTTCTGTTTTCTTTTCGCTGCCACGGGTTTAATTTGCTCAAGCTGATGGGCGTATATCCCCACAGCTCGCCATCATCAGCTTCGGGCAGAACCCGCAAAGCCTGCCGAACTTCCCCAACCGAAACCTCAAGCGTGAACTCAACCCAATATCCCATTTCTGCTCCCAACCCATTTCTGGGTGACGGCTGGGGGCTCGCCCCCCCGGCCCAGCTCTGTGAGCACCCACAGCAGGCCGAGTTTAGGGTTCAGGGAGGGTGCCTTTACCCCCCTCCCCAGCCCGCAGCCCCGCTCCGGGGCGGCTCCGGGCTCGCCGTACGCGGCCGCCCCGGGAGGTGGCGCTGGGTCCCCGCGTGTTCCCGCTCCGCCCGTGGCCCGCTCCCGGCAGAGACCGCTGCAGCACGGAGTGGGGGGGACGGGAACGGGCCCCTTCTCCCAACCGTCCTGGTCTTCGCCTGGCAGTACCCTCGGGCTCGGCGCTTTCACCCCGCCACACTCCGTCAATATTTCTGGTTTTTTGTTTTTTTGGTTTTTTTTCCTTTGCCGACAAGACCCTGATGAACACTGGTTGGGGAGTGCGGAGAACAAATGCAGGCAAACGCAAATATTTGCCAAGTCCTGTGGCAAAATATTTGCTAAATATTTTGGTGGAAAATACAATGTATACTAGTCAAAGGGGATGCAGTGTGAAAAATAGTGCTTCGGAAAAATGAATAGGAGTTAGGGAAATGCAGACTGGCACTGTCTCTGTAGAGACAAGAAACTGCTCATTAAAAGCCCCATAATGCCTTTTGAGAGCCAGCTTGAGATACTGGAATTAAAATGGGCATCCCAAATCCATGATTCTGCTGCGGAGCCTCCACATGAGCGGGCATCCACCAACAACGGGAGCCCTGCAAGGGTTCGCATGGTTTAACTTCAGTTTCTTCACACCTCACGTTGTGATGTTGTTTGGTAAGAACAGCTGTTTCCTCATTTTATTTTATTGTTTTTTAAGAGAGAGGAATGCTTTTCTACTTGTTCTGTATTTCAGAGCATCTTACTTCTGCTTTGTTCACTAAAAATGGGGCAGACAAAATAACTGCAGCCATAAATATTGTTTTTACAACAGAATATTTATATTGCCACATGGGTTGGTCAAGTTCGGGGCTGTAGACTTAAAAAACAGCTTCCCTGCCCTGAAGAGCCCAAATACTTAATTAAGGCAGATAAGGCAGGACAAATAAAAACAAGACAAAACTCCTCTTGCTTTGAACGACCTCTAGGGAGCAGGTCTTGGCAAAAGAAAAGAGAGATTGTAAAGCTGTAATAATAATAATAATGATAATTAATTGTATTTATAAAACATCCCCTAATGGCTCTGGATGCTATACAACGATTTTAAATACAACTGAAAGCAGCAGCAATAAGAAGCCAAATAAGGAAGTGCTGTAAAAATAAAGGTGTCTTTTACAGTAGCGAGCAAGATTTAAGAGTGCTGGTCTGGGGCTCTTTCAAAAAGTAAAACGGAGAAGGTGTCCAACCTCTGTACGCACTTTGCGCCCCGTGTGTCTCGCAGTGTCCGCGCAGCTGTGTGTCTGTAGGGAACACGTATGGATGCTCCAAACCAAAAGCCTCAAGCTTCAGCCCCCCCAAAACCCAAGCTCTGGACTCAGCTTCTCACATGCTTACACGTTTATTTTGCTTTACCGGCGTGTGAGAGCGGAGGATGCGTGTTTACACGCAGAGGTGCCGGCATGCGGGTCAGGACCTGCGGTGTGGACACACGGACAGCAGCCCAAAGCGGCTGAGGATCCGTGCTGCAGTGAATTCTGCGGGCTTGCAGATTACAGGCTTTGATTACAAAGAGCAAATGTATTTTAAAGCCTGGTTTGCATGTCTTGTTTATGCTTTATTTCCTTTCTGTATTCTAGTCAGCCAGATGGTGGAATTCAATGCGGCCAAATTTACTTGTGTTTACACTTCTGGATTGGCTTTCAGGTTTTTCCGCCAGCCGTTGATAAGGGTAAACACATATTTACCTTAGATTTTGAAAACAAAGAAGGGAAACACTCTTGTTCCGAGGGCTTTGTGAAAGCTTACTCCACCCTCAGTGACAGAGGGGGCCGGCGGGCGGTCACCCTTCTCCGGGCAGCGATTTAAGGGACGGGTGTCCCAGCCGGGAGCGAGGGGTCAGGCGGGATTTGCAGGACGGTAACTCGGGTGTCCGCGATCCCCGGCAGTGGGACAGGCCGGCTGAGGCAAGGCCAGCGCCCGCCCAGCCTCTCCTTCTGCCGTGAACCCCGGCCATCCCCTCCCGGGGCACAGCCGGGCCCTTGGAGGGGCTTGAGGCCTGGGGGGAGGCTCCCTGGGGGCTTTCTTCACGGCCTGG